ATCCTTGTGATTTTGTCACAGCGAGTGCGGACTGTCTCATTTGAAACAAAGTAGGTTTACTTCACTCGAAGGATGCTCTTCAAACAGTAGTTGTCAAAGACTTCCAGTTTCCGTTCATCCTCCACGTGCATAGCCCAACGTTCGCAGCGGTATAGGAGAACAGACCGCACAGACGACGGCGCTGTGACATGGCGAGCGTGAACCGCCATTAAATAAGTTCGCTTGGCACCGCTGCCTTGCGTTTAGGCTATTGAGCCAAAACGCTAGAAGAGACAACCTCGAACAAACAATCCGTGCGGCTGTTGGGGACCCGCTCATGCCCAAAATTCCCAAGTCACCTCAATGAATTACATGTGGAACGCAGAACAGAAAGTGCGAATCACAGACTGTGGGTCTATCGCTTCCTTTTCTCATTATAAACAACCCAACGGACCGTATATCGGGGCGTCAGAATTCGTGGCCAACATGGTTGCTAACTGTTGTATTACTTGGTCCCTCCGTACCGAGGCCAGTTTCTGTCTCCCTACATCGGGCAGCTCTGGAGATGTGCTTGACCAACGTTAAGGCTAGACCGTTTCACGGTATGCAGTAGTCGTGTCGCATGTGGGGTGAAGGATGTGTGATGGCACGTTCAGGCGTAGGCCTTGCGCCATGTTAGCCAATATGTCCAATCCCAGCACTATGTGGTGGCCAAATTTGAAGAACCTACTCTGGTACATGGAAGAGGAAAGAAAGGGTGTGGCCGACTCTGGAGATTCTATACTCATGGCACGGGACAGTCTTTACTTCAATAAACCTGACGCGCTTGGTTAATGACTCCGTTATCTCAGGACTGGGAGCCAGACTCAATTGCTTTTCACTATAGCCACAAAGGTGTCCTCACGCACACCCGGCCTAAGGCGCCTCTTAAAAATCCGCACGTTGTGATGGACGGAGTCGTGTCTGGCATGCGCAGACGGGCCGGTTAGCTTTTTCAACCACTGCGCCAGAGGCCCGCCTCTAGTTGCCTCAACACTGCTCTGCCGCCGGGACCAGGCG